GGCTTCAGTCTTACTTTAAGTGGTTTTTAGAAGTATCTATAACTAATAAAGTGATCTGTATTGTAGTTCCCTCCTTGGAGGATATACATATTTGTTTATTTGAAATATGCATTATATTTTCGTGTTATCTGTAGTAGACATAAAATGGATACAAGGTCTCTTTGATGTATAACTTTGCCCAGTGCCTCCAGATTTATATGTATGAGTGTTCAGTTACCATGTGTTTTTTTGCTGGTGTTATTTATACAAAGTGATGTCAGATATAATATATAAATATAAATATATAACACAATAAAAGCTGTTTGGTAAAGCTAAAGTTTGTTCTCATGCTAACATGCTGATTACATTTTGAAATGAATCCTGTTTTCATTACATACCTTATTTAGACAAAGTGACATCATCACTGGGTCTCTTTGCGTCTCTATGCAATGCAGGCAGCTCATAGCTGATGCAATGCAAGCAGCGTGTTGTACATAGCTTCCTGAAAACATCACAGCACTCCCCTCAAGAGTCCTAAGCCCAGATGCAAGCATTGGCTGGCTATTGGAGGGAGTCATACAAATAACAAAATGGCTTGACGGGTGGATGTCAGTCTGGAGGAGTAAGCATTCCTAGGTAGACTGAATTTGCATGAAAGTTTCCCTAGGTAACAGCCACATATGATGCCGAGCCTCCATGATTAAAATAATTGTAAACCAATGAATGAAAAGGGTGGGCCAGGAAGGCTGAGGAAGAAGGAGCTAGATAATGCTGGATGCCATCTAGCCCAGAAATGATTGGAGCTCTATCTGACTTGCTGTAGCTTCTAATGCACACTATGAGAAGGTACTGTGTGTCACTGATTTCAGTTTAAGCTATTACAATGCAGAAGAGGAACATGTACAACTGTGCAAGACTAGAGGGGAGATAGGAGTTCAGATTGAAAGCCTCAGAGAAGCTATGTCAGTTATTCATGTGGGAGGATAGATAGATAGATAGATAGATAGATAGATAGATAGATAGATAGATAGATAGATAATGGTGTTTTGAGTTTAAATACACCTATCAAAGGAAATGTGCTGAGAAAAATACAGAGGCTCCAATTGCTGAGCATCTTCTGAAAATTCGAGTTGCCTGGCTGTCTCTGACTTCAATACTTCAATACTTTGAGACACTGACCTGGAATAAGCATGCCTTTTAGAAAGTCAGACGTAAGTCAGATCTTCTGATCACCAAACAATATTTACATTTGGCTGTAGGCATCTGATACTGAAGCATTCAGATTCACATCTTTAGTAAACATTAAAGACACTGGGGTTGATTTACTAACCTTATAAACACACCACGAACGTGTATACACCTCTGCAGTGTGTTCCCTCCCAGCATGATCTATGGGTGGAATCTAAACACCTTTGTAATGTGTACACACCCAGCAGGTGTGTTGTGCAAAGCCCTGAAGGAATTCCAAGGTGATGTTGGGTAAATTAGCTCTATGTTGTGTTGCTTGCGTTGATGAATGCAAGGAATGTAAATGCATGAGCTAACCATTTTTGTCTAAACTGTGAAGCAGCATTATATATGCATCATGTGCATGATTTTTACATATATGGCATTACTGGAAATATGCTTTTAGAGACTTTTTGGTTGATAAATACGTTTTGCTGTGTGAAAATCACACACACCTGGTGTGTGTGTGTGTGTTTAGGTTAGTAAATCACCCCCACTGAGTTAGTATAATGGCCAGGAAACTAGTATGTGCATAGGCGGTCAGCAATGGCAGCCTCCATATTCTCTTTCCTTTAAAGTGAGTACATATTTAACAAAAATAATTTTACCCAACTTTCAAAACTATAACTGGAAGAAAAGTTATCGTCTAACACCCCATCCCTCAGGAGTGTTGTCAGTATGCATCAGTTCATTCTGGGTCAGATCCTGATTGAGACAGTTTAGGTTGCTTGTGTTTCATATCACCACTAAGCCTCCAGCCTCCAATCAACTGCATCTCTATGGCCTTAAACGTTTTAACCCAAATCTGAAAGATTTTGACATTCTTCATAGATTTTTAATGAATATACAGTATGTGCTGCCAAAACTTTGTTTTAGTTTTGTATAGAATAGGCAGAGGTTGAAATTCCTGTCACTTTTTTATACTGTCTGTGTCCAGCTGGGGATATTTTCCTTCACGTCCTGTCAGAGGGCTGCAACAGGAAGTAAAAGTAATTCTCTACAAAGTGATTGGAATTACCCTCCTAGACAGTTTTCACCTTAACAGCTATCCTTAGCAGCAGATTTACCTTTATCTTTTGTTCTAGTGACAAATTCATATTTTGGATTTTCTATCATTTCGTGCCATTGTGACACAGGGTATCTCTACTTAACAGGGATACAGACAGCAATAGAAATGTTAGCGTGGTCTAATCCTTCAATCCTCTGTACAAAACTAGATTAAAAAAAGTTTTACTATACATTACATGCACTTTAAACTGTGAACCAGTTGCATAAAAATCTACTGTCAATAATAGCCATTGTTCAGATATTAACCGACAGTAGGTGTTATATTTTGAGGGCATTATTTGTGATGAATAATATGGCATAGCCTAATAAAATTACTCTTAATTTTAAAAAAATTAATATATATA